GGGGGGGGGGGGGGGGTTCAGTTGTTAGTAGTAGGATTCTACTTAATTACTTTCTCTGCTTTTTGGATGTTTTGAGTGGACAAATTTTCCAAATTGTGTGTGAGAGCAGGACAGCAATAAAAGTCTGATATTTCTAAAGAATTTCATTTGATTGTTTGGGACTGTGTTGAGGTTAAAGTGTTTATTAACCCTTTCTGTTTGTCGTGTTTTATTATCTTATCCATACAACGTGGGGAACTCTGTGCCACCTTTTTAAAAGAGGAAATTTACTCGTTAATCTGATCGGTACGTTTTGCATAGCAGTCTGTCAAAATTATGTTTTGAGAAATACTGAAAGTTTCAAAGAGGTCATCGTACTAGAAGTATTATTAAAATGTGAAGAATACAACCCCAGGGGCACAAAATGACCCCATGGCGTACAGATAGGTTTAAATATGGTCGCTTTTAAGCCCTTGGGGGCTATCCCCAAAAATGCTGTTTTGAGAAAATCGAAGGTAAAGTTTTTGCACCTTGTTCAGTTTCTTTAAAAGACAGGAGAGTTTTCTCTATAACCAAACAAATATACACACCAATGAAATCAAACTTCTCCTATAGGAAGGGCAATACCCAATTTTGCTGTAAGTTAAGGTTTCTGGAAACCGCCGAAATCTGGGTTAGCCCACTTGTCCTTAAAAGCAACCGTATGAGGGCTATCTGAAAGTCAGGGGGAGGGGGTTTATATAATATCCCCACACCCACTTGGGTTGAGATGGATGTTGAATCGGAGATTCAGATTCCGAAGGACAGAGGGAAATAAAACATACACAATGTAATTGCCGGAGTTTACTCCCCACATCAACACAGTTCATATCATTTAGGAGGCGGACTGCTTTGAACTTGTTAGAACCACACCTGGCTGAAAGAGAGACAAATCTCACCAGACAGACGAGGATACTCGATAAAAACTCGGCCTACACAGGAATCAAATTCCAGTCTGTGGGTGGTTGGCGGTGGCTCTGGTATGATTTGCTTCTGCTTCTTCTTTCCTATCAAACATCTATCGTCTTTATCTCCCCTCCTTCTTTTGTGTTTGTTACTCTCTTGTAACATCACCTCTAACCTTCGGCACTTCTATGACCTTATTGTGTTGCAAGTGCCGTAAAACACCTGCTTTTAAAAAAAATTACAGTCTTCTGTGTGAGACAACAAAGAGCTCAACCACTGCACCAGTCGCTGGTACACGAGTGGGAGGGGTGTGAAACATTTACATTTAAATAAATAAATACATGTACATGCACATTCATTAGACAGAAATAGAAATGCGAACCCAAAAAAACGACGCTGTCCCCTACCTGCTCGCACCCCTCCTATCTAACCCAAATATCTCAATGGACACAAAGAGACAGCTTATCACCTCAATATTCATACCAACATTATGCTACCAGTGCCAGACCTGGACTTTAAGTTTAAGTAAAACCAATGAAAGCAAAATCATCGCATGCGAAATGAAATGTCTCCGCAAAACCTTTAACATCACTAGACGAGACAGACAGAGAAATTAAGAAGTAAGAGCAGCTATCGGCACTGCGTCCTGCCTGCATTACATAGAAAGACAATAAAATTGTTTGGCCACCTGTTACGTATGTCACCTGGCCAACCAGCCTCGATAGCCTACAACACCAAGCACTCAGGCTATAAAGGAAGAGGGAGGCCACGCAAAAGGTTGGTCGAGGGTGTCAATGGTCAAGGAAACCCCGAGAAAACATAACATCACAACTGACAGATCTGCGGAGCTGGCGTACCATAGAAAACTGCATCTCCCCTGGACGCTTAACGGCAACAGAGGATGAAAAAGTAAAAGTAAGTACATCCAACATACCATGGGACACTGTCATCTCTAGTGTAGCGGTCAGGTGCTTCGCCGTTGCACCCCGAGTACCTGACTTCGATTCCTATGTAGGGGGAAATTTTTGTCGAATATCTCGGTCTTTCTGCTCGGATATTGTAGCCCTTTCAGCCAGGGTTGTCCTTGACTAGCAGGGTTGAAGCATGCCTCTTAAGTGATCCAAATTGTGCCGCGACAGGGGCGTACAAAACACGTCCATTTTTAAAAGAAACGTACATTACTTACAATTCCATAGGACTTCGGGGCGTGATGTGAAATACTCCAACCAGGGGGGGGGGGGTGAGGAGGAGGGAGGACTCAAACTTTTCTTTTCTGCCAACCGTAGCTACACGATTGACAACTCAACCAGTGAGCTGAACTACACATTCTTAGTAAACTTATTTCTCCGAGTTCAGGAAAGTGAAAAGGGTGGTACCTGTACGTTGACAAGCATCACAGTTTCCGCACACTGGTTAGGAATTCTGCCTCAGGTGCTCTGGCATAAGAACTGAGCACTTTCAAGGGTGAAGAAGTGCTACATGATGAGACACTGGTTCGAATGCCGGACAGGGGATGTGCTTATGACCTTTGGTTATTTGTATGCATGGCTTTCTGCCCAGTGAGGTTGTTCATACCGGAGAAGTCCTGTCTCTTGAATAATTTTACTCAGCGTTGAAAGGGCTGTTGAATTGGAAATCCGAACAATAAAAACTCTACACAGACGTCCAAAGTAACAGAAGAAAGAAAGAAATTTCAAATCATCAACGTCAAAAAGCTGTACTTGGTGTCAGGAAACATACAAGGCATCACGGAACAAACAATAAATAATAGCATGTTCACTTCTCTTTCTTTTCTCTTGTTAGTGCCAGCGTTCATCGATACCGGGCTGCAATATTGTGTAGAAGTAGAACAATGTAGAACGCCCGACCGGACTGAACTATTCAATCAGTCATACGCGAAGTTGTCCACATGCAGTATACAGAACGTGTAACTCCTTCTCTCTCTCTCTCTCTCTCTCTCTCTCTCTCTCTCTCTCTCTCTCTCTCTCTCTCTCTCTCTCTCTCTCTCTCTCTCTTTCTCTCTCTCTCCCCCCTCTCTCTCTCACCCCTTCTCTCTTCCCGCGCCTCCGCCCCCCTCTCTCTCTCTCTTCCTCTCCCTCACCCTCTCTCTCTCCCACCCCTGCCGTGTGTTGTGTTGTCCTTTCTTTCACTTACTCCATAGCCCCCAGCTGGCAATTATCATTTCTATAGAGAGCGCAAGTGTGAATGACCTTGAGCATATTGTCGTGGAAAGAAGGGAAGAGGTGATATTATGTGTTTTTATTTCATTTCGTTATCTCGCCCACTTGTACAGAGAAGGGGTGTTTGGGGACAGGGAGATGTCGATAGGGGCTTAAATATTTACAAAGCCGGAGAGACTGAGGTGTATGGCTTAGTGTTGGGTATGGGTTATGTATTAAGGGAAGAATAGACGCAAAGGGAAGTAATCCTGTGCCATTTATCCGGGGATGTCCCGTGGGGCCCGGTCCGAGATGTTTTTCTCCTTAGTTATATTATAGCTGTGAAGAAATGGTCTTTGATTCAGCCGCGTCAGTTTATTCACTGCTTGATCTATAGTATTTCTCTCTCTCTCTCTCTCTCTCTCTCTCTCTCTCTCTCTCTCTCTCTCTTCC